GGGGGGGGGGGGGGGATCTCAATTTTGGAGGCATCAGTCCAGGGTGGTATTTAAAAAATAACCACCAGAGGTAAGAGGAGGAGAAGGCTGAAAACTTGGGTTAATTGATCAAGATTGAGTGGGTTTGTCTGGCCCTCATAGCCTCCCTTCCGATTCTTAACCAGGCCCAACACTCCTTAGCTTCCAAGGCCAAGAGAGGTTGTAACTATCACCTGTCAAGAAGAATCATTAGTAGAGGTGTGCCAAAAATGCTGGAATGGTTCACTTTGAGGTCCAAACCCTTCCTGGTGAGGTCTGCTTCTTTGTGGGAAGAGTGCCGGTCAAGTCAAAACTGGGAAGAACATCTCAGGGTTGGGATGTTCTGAGCATGAACCGTTTTGCACAACTCGGTTGGTCAAGCCTATTTTAACTTGATCGAGTGTGTTGTTGTTTTAATCAATTCATTTCTTCAACATTACAGTCCTAAAAATCTAGCCTGAAGGTGTCCGGCTACCCCATAGAAGCTTCCCCAGCCTGGAGTGTTTGGATAGCAAAGCCCATGACCCCCAGCCTGGAAATCACAGCCTGAGCATGTCTGGGGTGGCGGAAAGGCGGATGTCGGTTGGGATGTGTGACTGTTTTCTTCCTTGCCCCCTCGCCCCTCTTCTGGCAGCGCTGGAACCCGGTGGTCGGCTTTTGCGCCAGCCTGCTGCCCAGCGACCGCTGGCAATGGAGTGACGTGAGTGGGCTGAAGCATCAGCAGCTGGAAAGCTTTGCACTGCCGTCTCCTCACTGGGAGTGGGAATCTGACTGGTACGTGGATGAAAATTTTGGAGGGGAACCCACAGAGAAAGGGGTAGGTGAACAATATGGGATCTGACTTCTCGGGGGAAAGCAGTCACCACCACATATGTTAAGGGGCGGGGGGCAGAGAAAGCTAGATCAGGGTCTAAATGCCTTTGTTGAAAGAAAGCTTGCTTACACTGAACATGTGGATGGGCGTTCTTGGGGTGTTTCTCTTGCCCTTGAAGCCCAAGGATCAGCCGCGGGGAAAATGTAATGTTCTCTTCCTATCCCAGTCGCTATAATGATTTATTTGCCAAGAAAATGCCATTTCTTCACGCCCATGATAAGGTGGACTGCTGGGAAAATGCATTTCCCTTTTTCTTTCCCTGAATTAATAATGAATTGCTGGGGAAATGCTGCTCTCTATTATTTTCCTAGCAATTCACATTATCAATGGGATGAGAACAGGAAATAGCATTTCCCCAGCAATTCATTATTAATGCAGGGAAAGGAAAAGGGAATTGCATTTTCCCACCAATTCACATTCTGTTCTCATCCAACTGAGAAT